ATTCATCTCTGCCGGCAAAGTCATTTTCGCAGAAGTGTCTAAGTTGCGACTCTGTCAACTCTTGACCAGCTATTAGCGGTGTATTCATTGCTGCACCTGGGTCAATGAGGTCTTGTTCCTCAGATGTAATATTCATTGTGTTCACGGTAGGCACTCTCAAAACTTAAGAAAACTGACACTGAGATTGCAAGGCAATGGAACACGTCTTACCATAGTGACAAAGCACAGATTTTCTAGAATCAGTTCATTTTCAATTTCCTCATTTACTCCAGATTTATACCAATTTCTTATGTATAACAATGCTGGTATCCAGGATACTTTTCTGATCTACTTATAGGACTCAAAATTGAACTTGAGGTGGAGTCTAAAAAAGTTTTTGCTTTGCCACTATGCGTCTTACCTTGATCACAGTTCAAACGAGACTCGAGTACTATCTTTGACAAAAGTTAACAAGTCAACAAGAGTTACAAGACAACAACCAACTACCAAGTACCAACAAATAAATTCAGAAAGAGAAGAAAAAAAAAACAAAGAAATAAGAGCAAAAAGAAAGGGAACAAAAATTAAGAGAAGAAAAAAATAATAATAATAATAATTAAAAAAAATAAAAAAAAAACTGACTGACAAACCTCTGAGGGAGAAAGCCAGTTGAGTTTTTCCAGGAGCAGACTGAATTCACTGAAAATTATAATTTATTAGGTGTGGATATGATAAGTATTAAGTTTGGCTCACAATGAATCACCGGTTACTTTAGAGAACGCAATTTAACATACGTGCTTTCGCCGTGAACGCAACTGACTTTCTCCCTTGATAGTGATGATACCATCAGTCAATCACAATGATCACACGCCTCACGCTCGCGGACGTTTTTGAAACTCTGCCAACGCAAAGGAGGAATACAACAATTTCCACCATTAATGGCAAAAATTCTGTGCCGCAGCAGTACCACTCCTTCAGCTTCAATACCAATCACTCTTCTAGTAACGGAATACATAACGCGATAACGATAAGCAAAGGACATGAAAACGTTACAGACAAACGAGCCATGAGATTTTTAGAAAAGACCCACTCGCGGCTGTCGCCGGGCGACGCTGCGGCCCGCACTACTGAGGCTACTGAGCCATTGGCCGAGTACCGAAAAATCTTAGTAATTGCGAAGTGTTTAGTTTTATGGTCGGTTACTGAGCCCATTACCAGCCACTTGAACACTGAACAGCCTTTCCATTCGCCTCAAAAAATTTGGCTCAGTCTCCCCCATTATCGTTTTCTATAAGATTCGTATATTATAATAGATGGCTGACTGAAACCTAAAATTTCCTATAAATACGTATATCCAGAGCTGGGCAGCGCTACTATGAAATATAGCGGCCGCTACCGCTACCGCTACATGCTCTAAATGTAGTGGGCACTACAGCTACAATTGCTTAAATCAGTGGTTCCCAAAGTGGGCGATATCGCCCCCTAGGGGCGGTGGAAAGATTTTGGGGGCGATAGGGGGAGGCAGTCCGAAGTCAGAAGTTTGAGCGTTTGTTTGACGATTTATACACAACACTTGCAGCCGGACTCCCAGCGATGGTTTTTTTTTTCATTCAGATCTGTTTTTTTAACCTGCCCTGGGTTTACGTCTTGGACAAATTAATTAACGGCCGGACTCGCGGCCGGTCTCACGGCCAATTTCCAAAATCAATGAACGATAAAGGAATATCTCTCAAACTAATGAACGTAACTCGATGAAATTTGGTACACGTATTCATTAGGACCTAATGGTAATACGTAGCACGTGAAATTATTTTTAATTTTGCGTTCATTTGTGAGTTATATGGCGATACGAGCCGAAATTCACAGCGATCAAGGAGTTTCTTCCAAACTAGTGAACAGATTCTAACGAAATTTTAAATTTACAGTCCTAACTACCAAACAGTAATGTTTAGCTCCTGAAATTTTTTTCGATTTTGCCTTCGTTCGCGAGTTTTTTCAATTTCACCTACATTCGTGATTTAAACGGCAATACGTGCTTAAATTCGCAGTAATCAAGAAATTTCTTCCAAACTACTAAACAGATTTGAACGAAACTTAGTATTTCAAAACCTAACCTCAACAACGATGATATTCAGATTGTTACAATTTTTTTCGATTTTGTCTCCGTTTGCGAGTTATATGGCTATACGTATACGGCTATATACGTAAACGGCTATGGTTAAACCGGCCGGTAGAGAAGCCTGTCGTTTCTCCTATATCTGTATAACTCGATAACGAAAGCAAATTATAAAAATTGTCACGAGCTAAACATCACAGTTGGGAAGTAAGGTATTTACATACAAAATTTCGTTGAAATCTCTTCAGTAGTTTAGAAGAAATTATACCCGGTGCGGCGATAATCAAAATACCCGGCGATGCGAGGCAAATCTAAGGAAGTGTGAAATCAAGAATGACGGTGAAATGAAATAAAAAAAAACTCGCAAACGAAGGCGAAATCGAAAAATTTATTGTAAGTTGAACAAAAAAAAAATCCCCGTTTGGTAGTTAGGAATATTTATTCAAAATTTCGTTCAAATTTTTGCAGTAGTTAGGACGAAATTCTTTGATCACTGCGAATTTCGGCCTGTATCGCAATATAATTCACGAATGAAGGTGAAATGCAACAAATTTTCACGAGCTAAACATCACCGTTCGGTTCTGATGAATACATGTTCCAAGTTTCATTGAGCTGCGTTCATTAGTTTGGGAGATATTCGTGGTCACTGAATTTGGAGATTGGCAGGGAGACCGGCCACGAGTCCGGCCTTAAATTTGCCCGAGACGTCCTAGGTTTCTAGTTCTGAAACAGTTAAAGCAACTGAAATATATATTGGTTTGCTAAATGGGGTTCTATTTTTGAAATACACATTTGTGTTTAACCATTATGTTTTAAAATTACAGCGTACTAAATTTCAAGAAAGATGCGTATGCTTTTATATGTCGGTGGGGGGCGCTAGAAATTCACTAGGGAGCCAAAGGGGGCGCCAGCCTGAAAAAGTTTGGGAACCACTGGCTTAAATGTAGCGCCGCTACCGCTACCGAAAATGTAGCGGCCGCTACATGTAGCGCGCTATTGCCCACCTCTAGACTAACAACTAACATATTGACACTAGTAACAGGCTGAGGTTGACAACATTACACCGAAATCTTTCGTACAGTTTAATGATATGTCTTTTACGTTTTATTTGTAAGTAAGCATTTGCCATTTGGGAGATTTTAAGAGGTATTGATGCTTCCAGGCTCCAGCAATATTTAAACAAAGAAAACGGATTTTTTTGCAACAACTAATGTGTAATTTTCCGATTAAAATTACAATTCCATAAGGTTTTATGTGTCGTAGCATAATAGTTGAGGCATCTGATGATCTGAGTTACGATGATAGGATTCATGTGAGGCACCTGGCAGGCAGTCAGGCTGGCTGGGATTTTATTAAAATGTGCATAATGCAAAATATAATGTATAAAAAATAGTTAAAAAAACTTAAAAAAAACACGTTTTTCTTGTGGACTAAAAAGTAGAAAATAAATTATGGTTCGCCCCAAAAAAACGTGTGTCGGGCAGATTAATGATTAAAGCGAAAAGCACACAACACTTAAATTTTGGAAATTTGATGGTGAACGTACAGCACGACCCACGTTTTTTTTTTGGGGCGAACCATAATTTATTTTCTACTTTTTAGTCCACAAGAAAAACGTGTTTTTTTTAGTTTTTTTAAGTATTTTATTTTCTACTTTTTAGTCCAAAAGAAAAACGATTAAGACTTGATTAAGTATGACTTGACGTACTGTACGTATCGATGATACGCAGCGTCAGCGCCTGCTCGACTATAACGTGAGCGCCCGCACGTCATACTATATACAGTATATATATACTATATATATATTTTACTCAATTAAACTAATTTCGGTCTCTAATTACTAGTTTTTATGATTGTATCTGAAATTGTTAGGCGAAAATAGCCTGCATGCCGAATTTCAGATCTCTAGAACAATCAAAAGTGGGCTAATTTTCGTTGTCAATGTTAACAACAAACAAACAAACAAACAAACAAATAAACAAACAAACGCGAAGCTAAGCTAAGAAAAACGTGTTAAAAATGAACGTAATTATTTGACTGTATTTCTGAGTATAATAAGTGACAGGTGGCAGCTCAAGGTTGTCATGACGACGCTGGATTCAAGTCCATAAACGAGCGTGACAAAACTTAATCGAGAAAATTAATCAGGCGAAATTCACTCTGTAACAATCCGCACAAGAAAATAAATTATCTCCTCATGATTAAGGTTTCTTACAGTTATAATGAAACAAACAGGGGATGATATATAAAAGTTTCAATTTAAATTTCAGCTGTTGTTCATCGCCCAGACGCATTCTTACTAGCAGTTGCATTCCCAGCTCCTCCAACCTCTCCATGAGATGCTCCAAATATTTTCTCTGTGAGATTGGAACGTAAAGAGAGCAAGTGCAGTACCTGCGTACGTTCGTGCGTTGACCGTTACCTCCCTAGAGCCAGCGAGCCCGTTGATCCAACCAGTCATGTGCGGCAGCGGTCTCTTGCAGCGTACTCGTCCAGTAGATCGATATGGTCTGGTGCAGCAACACTTCCCTAACTGTACGGCATCTCTTCTATCAAGTTTATTAGAGGGAAATGATTTTATCTGCGGACAAAGCTTCTGAAAAAGATTGTTGGTACGGGTCCAGCTAATTTATAAAGTGTGGTTGAGGTTCACGTTGCAAAATTCACGTGCTCTCTTTTCATTATTATTTAATTCGAGAGGAACGATTTTAGGAATGTTCAAAAGCTTTTGGTGAAGATAACCTATCAAAGGCCGTGCTTAGCAAAAATTCACTTGTGAATGAAAGTTTAGAACTGAGCGAAAGGAATATAAGAATGAACTGAACTCAACCCTGGTTGTTCAATTCATTACGTCAATACTTAATACGGTGATTTGAGTTCCATTCTGACAAGAAAAAAACTGGAAATAGCAACTCTCATCGTAACTCTGTTATTGTGAATTGCATCGCTCATTGAAGGTTGCAGTGCAACAAATCAAGTGTGTGAGTCAATCGGCGATCACTGCGAGGTGTGAGCAGCGAATTTTACCTGTTAAACTTATCTCACAATATCTCGATAGTATATTCGATGACGTTGCCACAGGTGACACGCGTCACTGAGCGTTATCAAATTTCATTGACTAAGCGATATCATTTGTTGCGCTCAGTAGCGCGAGGTCGGTGTTGGGGTGCGGATGATTCTGTTCTGTGAATCCCTGCATTCCCGTCTATTTATTTTAATTGATTTAAATCAGTTTAAGTCAAGGAATCGAGTTTCTACAACCCCTGGCTAAGCTGGCTTTTTTCAATCAATATAGCCTATATTGATCTACCTATTATGGTAAACTAGTTACTCATGTTGTTGTACCGGCTTTATTAACTCAGAAGTTATTCAGGTAAAAATCAATAATTAGAAAACAGAAAAATATTTACATTCAACATGCAAAGCGCTTCCGGTTATAGTGATTCCATGCTCGACAAGTTACCACTATGGCAGAAGGAATTAATTTTAAGAAAAAGAGCAAATGCACTAGGGTTGACTGCTGCAGCATCGTCAAATACGTCTCGCCAGGTCGCTGCACCGAACACAAGTGAAGCTCAACCACTCACAATAGGTCGTCATGACGCTGCCGCGCCACAACAGCTGGTGGAAACTCGCAGCGGTCCCTACTATTGCTCTGTAAAGGGCCCGAACAGGCAATTGACTGTTCGCGCAGTGAGCGGACACGGAATCCTTCACTACTCCGCCTCGTCGGCCGTCAGTTTGCAGAGAGACACTGTGAGTGGAGGAGCGCGTAGAGCGTCGGCGCGTTCGAAACCAAATGAAAGTGTTGATGAGTGCATGAGTAGAAACTCGTACGTAAAACGTGGTGATAAGATGCACCACAAGGTGTTTCATGATGGTAATTATGGTGACTGTGGAGATGAAAATGGCGCTCTCAGCAACGGAGAGGAAGACTTACAGTATGGGCCCGGTATCGTGTCCAAACTGAAGAATAGATATATGAGCCTCGCCATGAGGGAGAATAAAAGTCGACCTGCTTTGCGTAGGTTTAGTTCTCTTGAAGATCTCCTAGACGCTGAAGATGGTGATCCAGGGATGGCTGCGGCTCCTAGGGGTAGAACATCCAATCTATCTGCTAAAAGGGAAGCTATGAAACGAGCACGTTCAGTTGATTGCTTGAGTGCTGCTCGCAGGGAAATTCCTTCTGAGCGGAGTCCTGCTGTCACCATTGCCAAGAGCAAGTCAGCTGGCGACGCGCTGTCTTCATACTCGCGTGAAGATGTCATCATTATTGAATCATCGCATCCTAACAAACCCGAGAGAAAACCCGAAACTACTGAAAATGTTGAAGATTTAAAACTTCCAATTAAGCTACAGACAATAAAGTCTGTATTTGAGCCAAATGGTCAAAGTAAGTTACATCGTACGAAGCCTGTTGCAACGACCAAGGCTCCAACTCCCACAGGATATAAACCCTTGCCCAAGGCAAAACCTGCTGGCTTGACAGCACGACGGCCAGACTCCATACATGAAGCAAAAGGTTCTTTGAAGCAGGTGACTCCTATTCTAAAAACTCAGGTAAGAACAGCTTCAGTAGGCAGTCCCGATACCAATGGAGTTGCTAATGACAGCGATTTGTTGAAGTTTGGCAAAGATCCATTCACTTCGTCTGTGCCTTCGAAGCCTTCATCTGCTCAAGATTCAATGAGTCCTAAGTCTTCCGTGAGACCTCCTTCAATCGGGTCTTTGCGCTCTGAAAAAAGTATCGAAAACACTAGGGTGCTGCTTGAAAACCGCAAAAATGCTCAAAAGTCTCGGAGAGAAGAGATACTCAAGCCAGAGCCTACGGATTATCTCACTCCGAAGCCTGTAGTTTTAGTGGAGTCTACCCCACCCAAACCTAACTCTGTTCCTCAACTTGGTTCGCCTCCTGCATTGCCTCAAAGAACAAGCATTGGCTTGCCAATTGCAGTTCCTCCTTCTCCACTGCCGAGACAAATCCCTGTCAGCCCAATAAGCTCGTCTCTTCTTACCTCCTCTACTGCTTCTCTCGCGGCCAATCCATCCATGTTATCCCCTACATCAAGTAAACTTTTACCGTCTCTGACTTCCTTCCCAACGCAAAGCTCGACACCCAACTCGGCGGCACCAGCGCCACCAGCCAGGTTCATGAACGGAGTCTCTTCACCCATACTCGATCCGCTATCAACTCCAACGCACTCAAGTGCAGTTAGTTGGTCAGCTTCTGCCATACTCAAGCATAAGGCTCCTGTTTCACCGACTGGGGACATAGCTCCTACAGCGAGCAATCCTCCCCTCAAGCAGCCATTCGTCAAAAGCGTGCCAGGGCTGGAGACCAAGCCGACAGCAGGGCCTGAAGCTCCCAAGACTTCATGTCTCCTCGAAACCGCCGCTGACGCCGTTATTCCAAGTCAAGATCCGAATCAGTCCGTTGTTCGTTCCCCATCTCCTCCTCTTAACCCTAAACATTTTGTTTCACTCAAAGCTTCGGCTCCTAAAGTATCACCAGCTTCAGTGGTCAGTCCTTCAAAGCACATGAGTGAGACCGCTGCCAAACCATCTCATTTCGATCCTTCGCCAGCACGAGTAACGAAAGTCACGACGTTTTCGTCAACGAGCGACGAGGTCACTGAAGTTGTTGAGGCTGTCAATACAGTTAATCGTCCTAAAACCTCAAAAGATAGATGGCATCAGGAACAGTCCAATAGTCTCGTTTTCAACTTCATCGGCAAGAAAGACAACACTCCCGATTACATTGAGAACGACGGCGTTGACATCTCGAAACGAGTTAATAAGGTAAGAACTTGCATCTTTAGCAGGAGGTAATAAGGTTTCAAGGTATAGGAAAAATGAAGGGTGAACGAAAGACAATATTTCTATTGTATCTTTTCCTACCAAGCTTTAACCTTGGTGAGTTCTGATATCACTCGTTAGCGATTTCACTGATATTCAGCGTGTGTTGGTGTGAGTAAGCTGCACATGTTTGCCAGAGCACAGAGATTGATTGACTCATGCCTCTCCATGTTCTGACTCATCGTAAACTATCGTTTATAGTTGATATTCAACAAGCGCCATTTGGTACGCAAGTGTTCTCAGTTTTTTTTTTTCATTTTATATGATATGCAATTATTTAAGCAAACTGAACTCCATTCGAGCATTTATATTTTCATCAATTAAAGAATTTAATCAGTTTCCTCGAGCCTCAAGTTGCTTTTATTTTAAATTAAAACTACCGCTTTTTACTTGCCAACCATGAAATTAATCTTTATAAAGCTTACAGCAATGCACGCTGATCAAAATTTATGTTATATAGTCAACAGGAGTCCTTGATTAAAACAATTCAATTATTGAAAAAATGTTAACAACGGAAACGTTACTTGATGAGTCTGATGTGACTCATTTGCGGAGAGATAAGGAATAATGAAGTTGATATGACGTCACTATATGACTGCCCAGCAGCACTCCATTACCGGCCATTGATAGCACACTTACATCGCATTGGTGGAGGACGGATTTCTATCATGTTGAGAAAATATTCATGTTTATAATTGATAAATAAAATTTGTAGTATTAGCCTGTTAACTGATAAGCAAGAAATACGCGTAGAACGGTTAAAAGTCAATTATTTGCACTAACTTGAATGATGTGTACTTTATTAACTTGGCGTTATTCCATTATTTGCTCTTGCATTATTATTGAAGAAAAACTAAGCTTGCGTACAGATTGTTCATACATTTCTCCATTCCTGCGACATGCAACGTTGTTTGGTAACTCGAAGGAACTCCTAACTTAAGAGTTGATCTCATGAGTGAGCGTTGAGAGCAGATGTCGCTGGTGGTATGTGAGAGCGAGCGTGCTCTGAATGAGAGCACTTGTGTACAGTCGGCGCTTTAACACCTGCCGCATCTGCGCGCTCAACCTGCCTGCCCAGTGCGGTGCGAGCCACACGATGTCCACCCGACCCGCCTGCCCGGTGCAAGGAACACGATGTTTACCCGCCTGCCCGGTGCAAGGAATACGATGTCTACCCGCTTGCCCGGTGCAAGGAACACGATGTCCACCCGCCTGCCCGGTGCGAGGCACACGATGTCCACCCAACCCGCCTGCCCGGTGCAAGAAACACGATGTCCATCCGCCTGCCCGGTGCAAGGAACACGATGTCCACCCGCCTGTCGATGCAAGGAACACGATATCCACTCGCCTGCCCGTTGCAGGGAACACGATGTCCATCCGCCTGCCCGGTGCAAGGAACACGATGTCCACCCGCCTGTCGATGCAAGGAACACGATGTCCACCCGCCTGCCCGGTGCAAGGAACACGATGTCACCGGTGCAAGGAACGCGATGTCCACCGTTTGCCGGTGCGGTGCAAGACACACGACGCGCACCCGCCTGCCTGATGCGGTGTCTGAAATGACGACCACTTCCTTGTACGGCGCAAAGTATACGACACATGAGGTACGGTTGACCCGTCCGCCCGCCCGCTGCGGTATAAGACACCACGCCATGTCCATGTCCAACCGGTATGAAGCACATGATGCATGCGCGGCTATTGCGCGCTTTGCTTATGCGTTATGAGATGCATTCACTGGGCGTTCCATCACTCTGGAATAGTATACATAATAGCACGTTCCGCACTCGCGCTTAAAACATGTGCTGTATGACGCACGTGCCGTACGCACAGCGTCTTCATGCAGTATGAGACGCATGCACTACGCATTCCTACCTATGTGCACTCATAATTCAAGGCAAATCAGCGTTGAGTACAGATATTCTTGAAATAAATTCAGACTATTTTAAACAATTTTCTGACTATATATCATTACCGCGCCAACATTCTTTTTCCATTTGAATCAATAGTTGCTTTTCTCTTTATGTTTATCCCCTAGGAAAATCAGTGCCGTTTGAAGCTAAAAAAGAACGCTGATACTTCTCATGCTCTGAGAGTTCTTTGATCCAGCTCGCGTGCATAAAGTTCAGACTGCGTGAGTTGGGCTGGACACGATAGCATTTTTCCATCCAGGGTATCTAATTTGCCGTCAAGGACTTGAAAATTATACATTTTTCTGTGTTTGAACAGTACTGGAACACGAACCAAGTGATGGTTTCCGTGTTGAAAATATCTGATTTCATGACGTCGTAAGTTTTATTTTTTTACCTCGTCGAGATCATTGACACTGCTTGTGTTAGTCGCCCGCGGTAACAATGTACAGTATAGAAGCTCATGTTAGTCATCCATGTTTCTGGACCAGATCAAAATTCATGTTAAGCGAGTCGCTATCAATCATGTGATAGTTTACCAAGTTCTATTATAACCGACTATCTGTCGCATGTTAGCTTAGTAGATGTCATAGTAAATTTCCAGATGGTCGGGCAAGTTAGGACCGGCCGACCGAGTGCATGACCGCCTGGCACCGACTGCGAGCTTCACCTACAAGGTCATGGATGCCGCGGGTGTGGCTTAGACGCGTCCTCGGGTGCTTGCTGTGCTACCATACTTGCTCCAATTTAAATGATTTTATGTCTTTTGCGATAGATACTTTTCAGTCATATATTATTTATGGTCGCAAAAAGTATAAAGATATTCCATTTATCCATTGTATCGAAAATCGTAAGTTTGACGGACTTCTAAATGTTAGATATACGTACAAAACTTAGAAAAGATCTCGTAAATGAGGATACATTGTGAAACTGACCAGTGCAGTTTTTTTTAAAGTTTTAGTTGAATTACTGGTATTGTTTAGTGGAGGTCATTTGCGTTAATTGTCATTACAACTAATTAGTCTAGTCGCTCATTGGTAGGAGAATTCATTTAGACTATTATCATCAGAACTTCTTTTCTAATGTGCTGTATTATTTATCTGTTGATTTTACAGTTGAATTATAAACAGAAGTTGTCTACTCCTGAAAGTTGTTTTTTGACGTCGCTATAAAACTGATGTTCGACCGCCCCTTCACGCTTGAGGTTGCTCGTGTTGCCCGTGGCGAGTGTTTTAAGGTTCGCATGGACGAGCAGTTTCGTGTTATGCCAGCTCAGATTCTTATAATATTTTTAACTTCGATCCTATACACAAATGACGCGCACTAGTAGCTGGCTGGATGTGGGATTTTTTTTTGCATTTAATCAAACCGGGCTCCTGTTTTCATTTTATCATTTCGAATTGCAGTGGTTGTTTGATTTACATTCCGCCTGCATTGAAAAATTTACACGAAAAATGTTTTTAACTTCGACTTCAAGTAGATTGGATTAGTTTATTTTTCTTAAAGAGAGATCATGAAGCTGTAATCGTATGCACTCACATTTGCTGCAACACGCTCCTGAAAACACTGGAAAATCGAAACCTTGACAGAAGGCATCACAACCAATCATGATTCCCTAATCATGTCGTCTTTGGCATCGAAGAATAATTTTTAGATATATATATACCTCTCCAATACTTTGAACATATATACGTTGACAGATTTGTATATTATTTCATACTGTATGATCTACTATCTCTTTTCGTTGAGTATGCTATTCCAGTTATTTGCCTCACTCGTCGACGTTTTCTCTGACCTGTTTTTCATTATCGTCTATATTTCTGGCCGTGAGAAAATGGATGAAACAACACGTTAACATCTGCAGGTTTTGCCTTGCCACGTCTTGTCGTCATGTTGTGTAGCGTGGGAGCCGCTGCTGCCTCCCCCCTTGCCCCTCTGAATCCCCTGCACCTCTCTGCTTCCAATCTGAACTTCCTCTTAATTTCTTCCCAGTAATCCATACGTCACTTTTTTACTTTCTTGTCATGTTTATTTCCTCTAAGCCTCACTTTGCCTTCTCTCAAAGTCTTCACTTTGCTGTAATCGTCCTCTTGTGTACTCCTTTTTTTCTCCACAGTATTTTTCATAGATCATTTTTTCCCATCTCCCACTCTTCTCTAATTCACTCAGCTTATATAGCTTTTAGCTACATCCACCGTGTTTTCTTTTGGTCTTTATTGTCATTGTTTACGGCCCTTTATTTATATACTTCAATCGTTGTTTCGATTTATGACTTGGACGACGCGACAAGTGTGTCAGTTTCTCGCTCTAGTGTCGCAGCTGAGAAAGCGGCGTCATCTAATGGCTCACTTGCACTGAATCCACTGCCTCATACATGTGCTCAAAGAAATTCCTTGCCACCATCTGCTTCAGAGCATGCTTCGGTTATTGATTATCAAAAGTCATATATCGATGTTGTAGTGAATCTTTAGTATTTTATTTAATTACAATGATATTTATATTCGTCAAGAGGAATTGGAGATCTTGCATTTTCTTGTTCGGTGTATTTCTGTTTAGGTGTATCCTGTTTTGCTACCAAACGTGGGCCTCAAAGGGATTTTCTAAGCATCTCCCAGTAACTTACATAGAAATGCACTGCCATTCAATGTCTCGTTATCGAAGATGCTGGCGATATCTAATCTCGTCGGTTCTATCGTCCTCCTATGGGATTTGTCTCTACGGCTCTCAAACCAACCGATCGCTGGATTTTAAATGAATTTCATTATTTTCGTACATGAATTTATCATCTTCAGTGGTCTTATATTTCTGCTCATGTGATGGCAGTGGCCGCCAGCCGGCTTTCTTAAACTGCGAGTAAACTGTGCGCCGATGTTACAATTTAGTATTTTTAGCGCATTTTCTCATTTATGGAAAAAATGCCCAATTGTGCTCGTCATGTCCGTCTGTCTGTCCGTCCGTCCATCTGTCTGTCCGTCCGTCCGTCTGTCCGTGACTTCACGTTTTCGTCGACGAGAAAATGCGCTCTCTGTCACTCAC